TTCAGCTTTGTTAGCCAGTTCACTCCGCTCGAATCAATCCTAGACCACCTGCGACCATCCCTGCTCTCCCAATCGAAGGCTCGTTTGAACAACCTGCAGAGAATTGCTTTTGAGGGATTCGGCTGTGCTTTTCAGAGAATCCCAAACAAAACCGCTTCCACTCTTCCGGGTCATCGACTTTGACGCGCCCTTTTGGGCAGTTCCTTGGGCCCCTGAGGGCGCCTGCAGCCGCAGTGATCCACGTGCACATGGGGATACCTCACCGCGGCGCAGGTCAAAAAGTCCACGTAGAACTTCTCCTGCTCGGATGAGCCCACTTGCGTCACACAACCCCCTTGAGGCTAGGCTGGTCATCCAAGTGAGCGCATCTTGCATGCATGCCAAAGGCATCGGTCGAAACCATGCACCAACCCTTTGCTTAAACGTGCGTATACACCATTGTTGGAACAACCTCCCTTTGAATTCCTCTGCTGGATCGAACAACATTTGCCCTTCATCGGTCGAAATGCTGTAGCATTGACAGAGCAGCTTGTGACATTGTGGTCTATGGCACCCAGCTGGGCCAAATGTGACAGCCGTCTCACTTGTCTCCCTTTGAGCAGAAAAAGAGACTCGAAAACGCCACATGCGGGGATGCTCAGTACCGAGTTTCAATCGCCCTGATTTCATGCGTTGCAGGCTGTAAAATAAGTGTGTTCGCCAAGGAGGTAAGCTGATCGGCATACATGATTGCAATCTGCCGGCTACAAGTGATTTGACAAGTGTTCTGAAAATTACCACGTGCCAGAAGGAACTTCAAAAAACCATCACGTGATGTCACGTGTGTACAAGTTGCGGCATCATGATTGTGGCAAAGAGGCTGCCAAGCGAAAGCCGAAGGCCATTTCTCAATTTAATGTCCTCTCATGAACGTTGGCGTGGCTGCGTGTCAAAGTGGCCTGTTTAGCATCTGCGTGATTTCCCGCCATGAAACGTGGGCTATACACAGCGCTGGTAGCCGCCTGCTCTTTAGGAGACCTGGCAGGGATGAGCTCGTAGCCAAAAAGCCCAGCGTTTACCGTGGAATTGCGGCTGTTCAAAGAACAAAAACGACATGCCAACCGATTCCCGGGGGTCCTTCGGTTGGGAACATGCAAGCTGCCCGCTCGCCCAGGCCTCCAGGAATGGGTACCCTTCCTTCTCGGAGCCCCGGAACACTGTCACATCCTTCGACACAAGGCCTCAATTCCCAGACAGAGAGCCTCACGCCTTACTGGACAAACAGAAGGAAACCCTACTTGGGCAGTTCAGCAGTCAAGTGACAAAGAAGTGACTAGTGCGCAGGAAGACACGGGCAAACGCAGGGCTCTGTGGGACTAATCTTGGCCACGCGTCATCCATTGCTTTTGCAGCTGAATTCTGACAGGCCAAACCTGAGAGCAGACTTGCCCTTCCTTTGCACACATCGCAACCCAACTCACGCGACCTTGCAGCGCCGAGCCACACTTGTCCTCCGGAAGCGGGTACCAGCCTGGGAAAAGGTGAGCCGGAGTCCAAATTGCGTAAGCGGACAGGGCGAAAAACGTGCCGCCCGGATTTGCGCGGGAAAATTGAAAGGGGCTGGCGTCATACTAGCCGGGAAAAGCCAGCCCACAGACTCGGAGTTTGTTCTAGCCGTCCAATCAGGTCATCAAAACAAAGCCACCCGCACGAAGCTGGCCGTTCTTTCCTTGGATGTATCTCAATTCCAGAAACACTAATGTCTCAAGGAATCGTGCAAATATGATTAAACACTTTACGGTACAACCTTGATCAGAAGCGTGCCAATCAAGCATGCATGCTATCTGCTCCACAGACGGGCTACTGGCTACCTCGAAAGTGTTTGGTAATCACGGGCTTAAGCCACTTATACCCATGGCACCAAACACGCTCAACCCACTGTAGTTTCTGTTGCAACGGGGCCCAGTCGGAATTGCCTTCTGCTTGTCATGCTGCACCAAGGAAAGAAGCCAGACAAAGGTTCTGAATTCTGTCTCTCAACAGGCAGGCCCAAACAATAAGCCAAACCCTCTCTTCCCCCCGGATGGCTGGCGGAAGTGTAGGGTGAACCATCACGCCAAAGTGTCAACTGCATGCCAGCCACGTACGGTGTGTGTGTGTTTTTTGTTGAGGCTACCCTTTGAAGGGAAACCAAGCGGAACACAGCCATTTTGGGCCCCCTATCTTCACACATACCCATACAGTATGGCCCATACACAGCCGCCACACTCCGGGTCCGCGGCGTGTGTCGAGGAAACGAACGAGGTCGCTGCGGCGGTGCAGGTTCTCCTCCTGCGGGCGGCGGACGGCGCGAGCGTTTCTTTTGGTTTGCTTTTGAATACTGCCCAAAGGGGGGGGGGGTCCACCATTGTGGAGACAAACCCCTCAACTGGGTGGCTTTCCTTGCGGCCTCGCTTGAGATAAAGCAATCCCAAAGAGGACTGTACCCTCCAAAAGACGCCCCCAGATTCATTGTTGCCTCAAGGTTCCAGGTGTAGTCTCAGTCCCAACGGAACATTCCCTGGTTGTTGATAATACAACCTTACCCGGCAGTTGGAAATCAACAAATCACAAGACCATATCCGGTAACCAACCTTGGTCAACGTTCAACCCTAACATCCAGGATGGGTGTACTGTCTTTTTTATCAAAGTGGGCGAACATGTCGCCGATGGCCCCCAACACCCGGCAAAATACTTAAAGCACCGGAAGGAAAGCCCGGGAGCTTTGGGGGGTAGTGTCCCCATGACTAGAGCCAGGCCCGGTTAGAGAACGTATATTTTATTGTTTGCTTCCCTTGGAGTCACTTTAGTAAAATGCAAAATGTTATAAGTCCACCCACAGTCCACCCCACTTCCCCCACTTCCCTCCTGCGCGCCGGCGCCCTCACGGAAGCCGCCCCCCGGCTGGGCCGCCGAGGCCATGTTCAGCACTGCCACGCGGTGGGACCTGCGGTCGTCATGGGGTCTGGGCAAGAATCGGAGCCTCGCTTTTTGTGGGGAAACACCCACTTCAGAGTGGGTTTCGAGGGAGACCAAAACGAAATCAACCTCTCAACCTCTTCTTTGTTTTCTTTTTCTTTTTGGGGGGGAGGGATTTTCAGAACCAACATGTTCCGACGCCGAATGGGACGCTTCGGTGTGGGTGGGCTTCATGGTCTCCTTTGCCTTGCTAACTGGGCAAATGAGTATTCCCAAACTTTGGGGTACACGCAAATCATAGCTTCTGAGTTTGTTTCATATTTACTCTACCCGATCTCGAACGCAAAGTATAAAAGGCCTCTCTTTTTTCAGGCTACTTGTTTTTGTGGTTGTAAACCCTTAGCTTCCTTTTGAACCATCCAAATCTGGTCTGCAATTTTGCGAAGCCCCCACGTAGGCCCGGTATTTTGAGGGGGTGGTTGATAACTTTGGCAAACGGATTGTCTTTGGCTCGGCATCGGATTCGCCTGGCAAGCTCCTGCGCATGCTCCAGGATGTCCTGCTCCACAACCTGCAAATTCGGAGCTGGAGGTTCGGGGGAAACATTCGGGTCTCTCAATTGGGAACCCCCCCTTTCTGGCCGCATGACTTTAAAAGCGAAGTCAACCCCAATAGCTAGACTAAAGAAAACAACTGAATTTGCTGACTTTGATATCCCCCGAAACATTCAGTCTAGACAAGGGGTGCCAATCCTCCCACCACCCTAAACCACCAAGAAATTAGCTGGCTGCTCATTTTCTGGTTTGTGTTGCAAACTGGCCATCCGCTCCCTGCTGATTTGCTCATCCGCTCAGAACCTGGGAATCCCAACTTACTTTGTTCAGTTCCACACGTGTGCTGCATGCGTGTGTGAAGCATGGGCTGATGGTTTCCTTCGGTTGCCATAGGTGACCTTCTGAAAAACATAGATGGCCCTGGCAAGTGGAATAAAACCAATCTAAACCAGTGCTATCTATTTCTAACCGAACTAACGTGAGAAGGACACCTACGTTGGTTACGCTGACATGGCAACCAAAAACCTACGACTCTGCCTCCACCTCCGGTGCGAACTCGCTCACCATTGTCCCGGCGCCCTGCAACGGAATACAAAGAGGTTGGAGGAAGAACTCAGCAAATTTCGAAATGTTTTTTGCATTGAGGATCCGACTCCTCATTAGGGCTCATGTCGACCATTCCTGCCCCCCCCCCCCTTCCCCCCTCCCCCCCCAAAAAAAAATAATAATAAAAAATCAGACCTTCTGACCTGGGCACAAATTCAAGCAAGCAACTCAACCCAAACTACTCGCTGAGCATCAACAAGCCAATCGCACATCCGGCTTGAACTCCCGCTGACAGCCTCTTCCGGCCAAATGTATGTGATCACCGGTGGCAGCTGACGCAAGTTGTTGCTGATCCACTTCTCTGTCTGAAGCCTCGCCGAGGCTTTCCACAATGTTCTTTTCTGGGGCAGGGTCTCTGTATTCGGGCCCAGCTCTACCGGTTTTCGATGTCATTGAGCACTGGTCATTCAAGTTTCGCAAGGAAAACAGCAACCTGCCAAATTGCCATGGTTTGAGGTTGGCATACTCGCAGTTCTGAGGGAATCCACCATACAATCAGGTGCTTTCCCCTGGTCAAACCCAGAAGCAGACGCAGCAAACAGTACATGTGACGTGCGGTTGAGCAAGGCGCCTTTCTGCCTTCCCGTAAGACCCCCCTCTATGAAACTCACGCTCAGAAGGTGAAAGGGAAACCCCCAGTTTCTGACTGGGCTCAGAAAAACGTCACTCCAGAGAAAGCTCCCTTTAAATCGGCAACCACAAGGCGATATCCAAAGCAAGCAAAGCAAGCAAAGCAAGCAAAGCGGCAATATAGGCAGGCCTGTCCAAATCAGGAACCCCAAACTCGCAAGGGTCTCAACCAGAGGTTCTTGTGGTGTCTCTTTGAAGTCAGGGTTGCCCTTTCTTGAGGTATACCCTCCCTTCCACCAACATAGCAACATAGCTGTAAAAACTCCACTTGGAAGACCAATTGCCGCTTCAACATGGTACCCCCTGTCAGGCGTAGGCCGTGTTAGAGCCTACGGCCTATGGCTCTCAGCGCCACAACCGCACGGCGTGCCCAAGTGCCGCCGGAGGCGCCAGATCACCTTCCGCATCTTCCGGATGACGAACATGTCCGGGTTCTTTTTGCCGTCCCCCGCCCTCTGGAAGTCCTCCCGCCACCTGCAAGCGCAAGCTGGAGGCGAGCTGCGCGCAGCCGGAGAATGCCAATTGACCCTAGTGTTCTAAGCTGGGCGCATACGATATATGTGAATTTGGTGCGTGGGCCCCATATATTCGTGGAAATTGGCAAGCAAGCAAAATGTGGATGGGTCAAAACAAGCTGGACCACTAAGGGCACTGTCCCTTGAAGTTAAGTTATGATGAAAAAACAAAAAAACGTCATGGACCTTCAAAGGGAATCCCCAAATCAAGACGGCTTAAAACTGCTTGTCTAGTTCGTGGGCTTAGGGCCGGTTGCTTGCTGCCAGGAAAAGCGTCCAGCAAGTGTCAGCTCTGTTCCGAGGGAGCTCTTGGAAGGGCTTGGTCCATTGGTGGCTACCTTTCAAAGACATCGTGATGGCGTGGTATTCCTTTCGTTTGCAAGGCTGGAGGTTGGCGCTGGCCACCAGCCAGATCGGCTGGGAAAAACCCTCAGAGGTCGGATTGCAAGCGCAAATACTTGGGAAGAGAAGAGAGGGAGTATTGTCTGGACGTGACTTCAGGAAACCCATTTTCCAGATTTGAGGTGCTACGTCCCATTCACTGGACCCACCACAAACTAAACGTTGTTCTTTCTCTGAGTGCTCTTTTCCGAGGCTGGCCCTGAATGGGTGCTTGCAAAAAAAACACGAAGAACTTGGTACCTTCAGGTGGTTAGTTTCCCTCCGGTTTGCCTTGGAGTCCAATCGGGTGCCAGACCCGAGGCATTCCCTCGCACCTCTGTGGGTCGTGGTCCAAGCTGGCCAAGTCCTGTCGCGACCCTAACTAAAACCTGTCCAAGGGATCCGAAATGGAAGAATATATATCTCCCGATTTGCTCGGCCCCAAAAGCCTGCCCGGTTAAATGCTCAGGGGAAGGGCTTGGCGCGACCAAAAAGACCCCGTGCGGCCCAACTGTGGTAAAATATATGGGGGGATTCCCAAAATGGTGATTGTCATTTTGGTTTCACAAGGGCACTCTCAGCTCAAATGTAAGCAAGCCATAGCATCTAGCATGATAGGGGCTTAGCCTCGATGTTGAATTTCGGGGAAAGGCATGTCCTCTCAACTCGCCACATGTCGGAACTCGGCGCTTCAAACGCAATGTGGGCGCGGGGGGCTCAAATGGTGAAGCGATGTTAGTTGTCCAAAAAGGGCCACCAGGCTTGGGGGTCGTATTTGAAGCAATACTCTTGCCAGCCCCGCACAAATCGCGCCGCTCCTCCGCGCGACTGGAGTGGTCATAGTAGTTCGGGGGAGCGCTTTCCACGGGGCCACCGCCAGCAGTCCGACGCCCTGCGAGCCAAGCCCCACTTCCTCAATCCATCGCAACAAAAATGCACGGAGCCCAAAGCCAACTTTGTTGGAACTGTGACTAAACATGGATCAATGCCGGAACACCCAAAGATGTGATATGGGCAACCGAGACCTGCGTGAGTCTCTGCCCGAGCCAAGGGGATAGCTCAATTTGGGGTCCTTTTCTGTGCCCTTTACAAAGGGTTTCCTTTACCCATGACGTGGTCCTTGTCGCACCAAGGGCAGCCATTGGTAAAGGGTACCCATTGGGTAAAGGGCCCTAAGACCAATCGAGCCTGTGGGTTGCGAAGCCATCGGGCCTCCATGGTTTCCTTCGGCCCACCGTTTCAAGCGCGCAGCGAAACGCTCAGCTAGGCTCTTACTAGGCAAAGAAACAAGCTGAAGTAGTAGCAGCAGCAGCAGCAGCAGTAGCAGTAGTAGTAGTAGTAGTAGTAGTAGTAGTAGTAGTAGTAGTACACGTCTTTTCCTTACTCAATGGGAATCACCCCTGAATAGTACGGTCCTCCGCAGTAATCCGAAGAACTTCACAAGAGAGGACTCTCTGTGCAGTCTGGGGCGCTGCCTTCGTCACATCGTGCCGCCTCAGTCCGCAAGAATTCTGCTTGACTCAGTTCCCGAGTGGATTGACCAACAAAAGCCCAACCTCTTTGTTCACCACCAAGAGTCCGAGAACTGAGGGAGTGTGGGGGAAGTCATTTAGGTGGAGATTTGCGTCCACTGACAATTTTTCAGGGGCGGTTCCCATTGACATGAATTGCCATGTAAGGCGGGGGTTTCTAGGACGTCGACCAGGATGAATCAAACCTGGTCAATTGGGGTGCGTCCTGTCAAGGCAAACTTCCCTCCCCATGGCACCTCACCAGGGGCTACAACGGCGTCACTGCTGAAGATGTCAGGCACATGAATCATTAAACATATGAACAAGATTCGCCCAAAACCCTCGCCAACGGCTCGAAAACATGTGCGCTGTCGAGGATACCTATTGCTTGTCTACAAATGTTGCCACAACCTCTTTCAAAGTAAAAAGCTTTGATGGCCATTCGCAAACCTCTCTGCCATTTAATCAGTTGTGTGTGTGTGTGTGTGTGGTGAACCTTACCCCATACAGTCAAGTAGGCTAGTCGCATCGATTTGGCTTGATTGTCTCCCTGCCGTTGGGGAAAGCATTGTAGCAGGGTCGCATCGATTCTTGAATTTAGGTTGCGTTTGGCATAATTTTTCTGGAGCAACAGCAGCTGCAACAACCAAAACAACAACCAGCCAGCCGCAACCGTGCCTACAATCAAAACTATAAGCAGAACGCACCCATCGGCACCCATTCTTCGAACAGTTTTTTCAGAGCAGCTTGACAGATGCGTTTGCATTTTTTTGCGTGCATGTGCAGTGTTTAGATTCCCAGTTGAGTTGTGCCTAGGGACCTATCGGTTGGGCCACTGAGGCTTTTGGCTGGTTTTGGATCTCGTTTGAACCTCGTTCGGACCTCGTTTGGGGCCTCGTTTGGGCAAGACATGTTCCAAGAAGCTGCAGTTACTAAAGTCCGTGACACTAGCGTGCGAACTAAGTGGCTCAACGCTCCTTTCGAAGCAAGCAAGCCAGTGTAAATTGTGATTATTGGCATCAGTCTTGCAGCATGCTTCAATTCATGAAACGCAACCTAAACGTGGAGGTGATGTGACCCTGATGTGACCCGTCGCATCGACTTTGCCTCATAGGAGTGAAACACATTTCAAAAAAGTTGATGCGCCTAGCCCACCCGACTGTACATGTTGGCCTCCCTGTCTAATTAATGGCTCTGGTGTGTTTTGGGCATTCCCAAAAGTTTGAATTCACACTCTTGGGGCCCCAGTGCTTTTTTGTTTGAATTCACCTTGCTTCCGGCCCCTAGGCGGGGGAATATTGTTTTTTTAAAGGCCAAGAATGTCCATTCGAAAGGTTCAAAAACCAGGAGCCGTATGGAACTGGGAGACTTCCCAAAACGATGGAATAAAGGTTGTATTTTCAATGAAAATGTTTGCTACCATGGTCGAAAAGGTTTACGCAAACCCCGCCTGCTGTGCCTGCGCAGGTGACCTGACCGTCGCCGCCGCCGATCGCCAAACCCGGGGCATGCGCGGCCTGGAAGTGTCGCTCCGTGTGAGGTCGCTGGACGTTTTCCTGGGGTCACAACGCTTTGTGCCCAAAACAAGGCACCCCCTCTCTTATGGGCCTCGTTGCCCCCCAGCTTTTGCTTGCGCACTCAAATCCAACGAGACCTCTTTTCGCCCGTCTCGGTCCCCCCCCAAAAAAAAATGGAGTACGGTCGTATGGCATGTCCCCCATCTTCTCGGGCATCCCACTGTTCCCAACCCAGAGGAAGGGGGGCGTCGAAAGCAACTGCCCACTCAGCACCTCCGGCGACAGCAGCGAAAGAAGCGCAGCCATCCCATGGGCCCGGCGTTTCAGTCCCAGCGGCTGTTCGGTCCGAAACGCCGCTGAAATTCAAGCGCGACCTTTGGGTGTGTCTTTTTGGAGTTGGTGCCGCAAAAGGGGCTGGTTTAAAGGGAAACCAAAGGGGAAACCAACCATTTTGGGAGTCCGTTTCCTTATGAAGCACTTTGAATGCACTTTGGGCACTTGACCGTGTCTTTCTTGGGGCTTCCCTGTTGTTTGTAGAACAAAGCGGAACTGCTGTATGTTGTGCGGTTGACAATTAGTATAATTAGTGCGTGGTCTGTGGCTGTCGGCTTACCAGTTTGTGGCTCTTGGTGGGAGTGTTGATTGGGTGGTGGCGGATTAGAGGGTAAGTGGTTGGTGGTTGGTGGAAGTTGGCGGCAGCCAGTCCTAGGTTTTAGTATTTGGAAAGAATAGTGTTGGTGTGCTAGTTAATGGTAGCTGGTGGTAGTTGGTGGTAGTTGGTGGTAGTTGGTGGTAGTTGGTGGTAGTTGGTGGTGGTTGGTGGTGGTTAGTGGTCGTTGGTGGCAGTTGGTGGTAGTTGGGTAGTTGGTGGTAGTTGTTGGCGGTGGTGGTGAATGGTAGTTGGTGGCAATGGGTGGTTAGAGAAACTCAGTGGTTTGCTTAAGGCAGGTGATGGGTTGTTGGCAATGCTGATTGTACAAGTCAGGTGTTCAACTAACTTAGAGCCAAATACGCAGCCCACATGACCCATGTCATAAGTTGTCTGGTATCCTGAGTCCTCACAGGAAGGATGCTCAAGGTATGGCAATCGTTCAACCTCGAGAAGCCATGTTTGAAGAGACACGTCGCATACCGAATGTCCTCAAGGGCATGATGTCAATGGCATTCTGAGCAATTACGCATGATGACCCACCAACCCTAATGAGAGATATCTTCAAATCCTTCGAATGGATTTTGAGCAAGGTCTCACATCCCCACATACCGGATAGACAAAATCCTGCACTTAGTAGGAGGTTGATCCCAGTACTAAATCGGGCTCCATCCATCCGAATCGGTGTGGACCATTCAAAGGGGCCCGGGGTCCTTTTGCCCCTTAAGCATCACCCCAAGAGGAAACTCATGTTTAAGCCGGCCGAAAGGGGAAATGCGGGGACTCCTGGTTCAACCAACCTCAAAAACTGGAATTCTCAAGTTCGCTGCAGCAGGCGCCCCACTTGATTTGCTCTTGCAGCGCAGGCGCTCGAGCCTCGCGCAGGAACGCGCGTTCGTAGATGCGCAGGGAGTTGCTGCCCTTCTTGTAAGCCGGCGGGGCCCTTTGGAGGATGCCTGTGATTTTCATGGGCCACCGCAGATTTTGTTTGGAGGACTCCTGCAGTTGTGGCCAGTAGCAATTGCTTCAGACAATTCCTGGCTATAGGATTTAGCTGCTGCATGGCGGTGCCCAAAGCCAAAGACTCAAGGTTCGCACGGGCAAGCACTACATCTAGCCTGCAAAGGAAAAAACAAAAAACGGACTTTGGCTTCTTTTCACACTTCGTGGTCGGTTTTGGCGCGTTTGGGGGGCTTTGTTGTCAAGCACTCCTTAGTTATAAGTTAATGTTTCTCGGAACGCTGCATGATGGGCAGAAACGCCTTGTTATAGTTTCTGTGTGTTCGCCACAAATCCTTTGAGCCAGCGTTCATGGTCGAAAAGCCGGGACCCAAAACGGGGTTGGAGAGCTCAGGAAAATCAAGTTGACAACTTAAACTTGCTCCCTGTGTTTTCAGATTATCCGAGGCCCGTCCAGCTGAATGGTCTTTTGATCACTAAACCTTGAATGGATCCCCAGGTTTGTCGGCAATCATTTGCTCTGGCAGGGTTGGTGAGCATGTCGTGGCAATTCGAGAGCGTCCTTCACTGAACATTGATCGCAGGTTCGACGACAACCCGCTGAAGAATAAGCCCTCCGGGCAAAACGGCACCCATGTATGGTTTTGAACGTACCCAACTATCCTCCGGCTACTTTGGCGTTCACGGGCTTGCGTCAAAATGGCTCAGCAAGGCTTAGTCATCGACAGTCCATGAACCCACTTGCCTCTCGTACCAGGCGGACGTTCCTCAGCCGCAATCTTCCAAGAAGCTAAGACATGTGGCCTTCCTCCCACTAACATGGCACCTGGGTTCAGTGTGTTAAGAAACCTTATTAAACAAGAAACAAGACTCTCGCTTGGCCAGCAGGTAAATTTCCCAGAGTGTCGGAGCCCCAAAAGCCCTATTTCAACCAGACAGTTTATTTCTACCAAAGTGATGGATTGTCAATTAGAAACGGCTACCTCCCAGCCCCGAACACTTCATTAACACATGAAGATACTCAGCTCATTCACAAAAGCGTAGAGGCCAGGAAACAGGTCTGAACCCAGTCTGAACATGTCTGAACCCAGTGAGCCCAAACTATTGGGGGACATCAGGTGGTGGGCTTGGGTGCGAATGGCTCATCTTGAGGTGGCGGGTGCGATTTGGGTGCGACTTGGTTTCTTCCTTGCGCATCGGCTACTAACCTGCATGGTCTTGGCCGCCGGAGACCCCCCCGCCTCCCCAATGTCCCACAATTGACTGATTTCGGACGGGCCTCTTTGTTGGCCGAGTGAGTAGTCGAAAGGGCAACAAAAAGTGTCCACTCTTGAACATGTTCGATTCCCTCAAAATCTACACAGCAAAGTTAAGACCCCTTCATAATTTACCACCCAGAGTCTCGACAAGACCTGAGATGTCTTAACTCACCGGCAAGTTAAGAAATTTGCAAGTCTCTCGACCGTACAAGGGGATGTCTTATCACACAACATGACCGTACCTGCAAGTTCAGTGAGGAGCCCCTATCAGTTGCCATGGCAACGTGGCAGGGACATCCGGACACTGGACACTAAGCAAGTTCCTTGTCGCTTTCCACCTGTCAGTTGTTCTGCTCTTGCACTGTTTTTCTGCTGCACTGGTGGAGTGGTCTTCTGAAAAAGTGTTCCATTGCCATTGCCGAACTTGTTGCTCTACTTTGATGCGTGAAGGTGAACCGCAATGCTGGCAATCTATGCATCTCTCACCGCATCGCCTGATCCGCCTCCCTGCAAGTTTGAAGCTCCAACAGTGCTGGAATCCAACAACGGATCGTGTGGGCGGTAGTCTGGCAACCCTCCTCCTTATCAAGAATCAAGAGATTAGGACACCCCGAACAAACAAAGCCCCAGGGCGAATGTCTTTCCTTGCATCAGGCGAACTTGCCCGTGCTGCCCCTATTCTTTTCAAGGTCACTCGCTTTACAAAATGTTGAGAATCCCAAAGGAATGCAAGTGGTTTCTCAAAAGAACCATGCGTGAAAAAATGAGGCAATCTGTCCCCTTCAAACACCTCTCTGGTTGTTATGCTAATGAAGCCAAGCCGCTTGCGCCCAACCCATCCGTCGAGGTCTCGCCACTTCACGCGCAGGAAGTGGCCGTGCGGGCCCTGAGCTTTTGGCAAGCGGCACGAATCAATCTGGAAGAGGCAGAAATTCGGACATGGGGACGTGTCTTGCTTTAACCTATCAAGAGAAAACTACTACCCAGCTGGGATTCCCCTGTCTGCCCTGGAGACGAAGGCCGATGCGCTATCTAGGGCGGGCACGTTTGCTGTTCATTCATGCACACAATTCCATGAGCAATGCTTGGGGGGAAGTGAATATATGGGTGTGTCTTTTTTGGGGGACCCCCCCCCCAACAAAAAAAAAAGTATCACCAAAAACACAGATCCATATGTGTGTCGAGAAGAGCTCTGTTGCATTGGGTTTACAGGTCTCATCAGGACACCTAAACATGTTTTCTCTCTCTTTAGCACCAATTAACTGTGGGGGCCGTCGTCAGCAGTCAACTTCGGGCCAAGCCAAGCAGGCGGAGAGCTCCTCGTTGGGGATCTCCCCCAACACCGCGGCCCCCTGCGCAGTTGGCGAGTCGACATGATGGGTAAGTGACTCAAAATAGGAGGACTCCAAAAACCCTGAGAGGGGGGGGGGGCTGTTCATTGGGTGTCCCTTCAATTCACCTGAGTTCGTCTCAAAATTGGGACCGGGTCCCCCAAAATGCTCCTTTCAAGAAAGCAAAAGCAGCAAGTGGGCGTGGCAGGAAAAGAACAGAAGCCCGCGAATCAGTGCAGACAGCAATGCTGCACACTATGCTTGTTGCACAGGGGCTGTTGCACAGTTGGTCACTTTGCGGAAGGTCGCAGGTTCGAGTCCTGCCAGCACCCGCTTCTTAAGTGTCGGTTTTCCTTTCCGCTTTCAAACAACCCAAAAAAAGGACCTTTGGCAAAACGACACTTTGCCCTCGGCATCGATAGGCCTCCGCCGGCTTCTCGAAGACACGCACCGCTGGGTGGCCCTCTGCCTGTACGGTGTGTTGTTCGACATGGTTGGTTCCCTGGCATCTCAAAAACCCATCCCGGGCTTCCCCTTGAATAAACCATCACCCAGCAATGAAGGCTTTCCCATGGGCCCAAAAAAGCTCTTGTTGCTTTAACCTTGGCTCGCCCTTTATCAAAGCCGACCGGGCTCTTCTCCAATGGAGAACCCGTTTCCGGGCCTAACATTGCACACAGGATCCCATTCGGCTAGTACCCAACCAATATCCAAATGAATTCCTAGAACAGGGAAGGAGGTAGAACCCAGTGCCCCTTCTGGGACATCAATCATGTGGGTGCCTGTAAAATGGTTGCTTTACCTCCCAGAAACTCCAGGTCATCTGAGCGGTTGGGCCCTACCTTACAAAAACAGAGCACCGCACCGAGTCCCTCCGTTTCGGATTGCGCCTGCCGCAGGAGGAGCATAGGCCCCCGCCACACGGCCGCATCTGCCGTGGCGCTGAAGCCTCGTCAAAGGCAAGTGGGGCAAAAATCCTGCGATGTCCAGCTCGAATGTATCAGGACCCACAAATCTCTAGAATAGATACATAAAACAAAATGTAGATCTCGGCACTTGGGATTCACTTTTGGAGCACTGATTCCCCTTTGTGTCCCTTTTCCGTAGGCCATGGTACGTTATGATTCTTGAAACGCAGAAACCAATGGTTGTCCAACTTCTAACAAGGGTCATGCTTTCCGTTTCCAACCCAAAAGGGTACTTCACTGCTCCTAGAAAGAGCGCACCCACATATCACAGAAACCTACAGGAAATTCTACACTCCCTGTCGACCTTCCTGCTGGTTTCTATACACATAGCGCCCACCCATCCCTCAAGGGCCCCACCTTCTTGCTCCAAAGCTGCATGCAGCGAAGGTATACCTGCGCTCCCCCCCAAAGCTGGCGGCCCATTGAATGGGTTCTAACAAATGAACAAGTTCCCTTCCTATGTGAAAAACTCGTGGCGCTCTGGTGCTGCTGGAGCCCGTTTATTAGAAGCCCTAAACTATATCAATGGTAGATCAGGATCCCAGCCAGGTTGGTTTCTGCTTGGCCTAACCTTCAAACCATATACAGCGAGGCATGAATCACAATGAACACCCAAAGAAGCCCAACTTAAATCTACGCAAAGAATTAGGCCGGTATCTGCGTCTCTCGGTTCGGACTGCCCCGTATTCAACCTGCTAACCAGGTCTGCCATGTTGCTTAACATCATGCCACCGAAAGAAACAAGTCAACCCACAGCTGTACAAGACCTGGGTGAGCCTTTGGTTTCAAGGGAACTCAAAGAGACACCGCTATTTGCAGGGAGTTGTGGGTTCCCCCATTTTAAGCCAAACCCATCTCCAACTAAATGGAAGTGCATTGGGGTGCGGTCCTCCAACGCCAACAACGAGTCGGACTTGCTGCCTTTGAACGCGGGCGCGCCGATGCGCCTACGTTGAAGAGGTCCCCCGCGAAGTCCAAAAGCTGCGCCAGAGCGGCCTGTCACATGGCAGGGGTCGGCAACCGCGGCAACCCCCCTTACCTTGGGGATGGCGCTTGTCATAGAGGTGAGTCAAGGGCTTGAACGGCTTGAACGGGCTTAAAACAAGTAAAGTGAATTGTCCCAAGACCCGATTGGGAGGGTAGAAATCGTTCAAACCAAAGTTCCGCCCTTGGGGGCATTGATCATTGTGAGGCTCAAAGCAACCCTGCAAAGTGTAAAGCCAAAGTGAAGGCAAAGCACGACCAAACAAATGCCTAAGTGTCTCACCCCCAACACCCGCTTGTCATGTCATCATGTTGCCTGTGACATGTCTTAGTTAACGAGCCGCGATTTCCTGGCAATTGCCGGTGGGTGGGGTTGCTTGCAATGTGTTACGCAGTAATCAATGATCTCCTCGTCGTCCCTTCGAAAAACCAAGATTTGTGGGGCTTTTCGATCATTCTCCCGAAAAGAAGGATGCAACTGGCAATGTTCAGCGCTCTATGCGACCTCCAGCACCCTTGAAAGGGAGTAATCGCTAGAGAAAGTCTCAACCGACCGAAATCCTCAAAAACAATCAAGGGACCGTTTGGGTTTCTAAAAGATTCCTGACTTCATCCAAATTCCTCGCAGGGCACCAAGGGACCCTTTAAGATTCCTGAGTTCAGAGCTGCTCGACAGTGGGACGAGCCGGTATAACAGGTAGAGCCGGGGCCGAAGCTGCCATGTCGCACGGGCAAACTAAGTCAGTTTGCTCTCCTGGCTTGCTGAGTTCAAAACAAGCTTCCCAGGAAGCACAAACTCCAGAAATGAGGTTAGAGCCTTCAATTGCTTGCGAATTCAAAAGGATAAGAGGCCCTTGCAGCAAGACCCAGGTGACGTTTGTTTGTTGAACAAATCCGACTGTTTGTCCCCTGTTGGTACTCCTCGCGCTTCCAGGAAGAATGGTGCTACGGATTTTGCATGGCGTCAGCTCTTACCCTCCAAACAAAGGGTGCTTGTCTTTTCAGTTGCTTGCAATCGGAGAGCCCAAAATTCTTTAAGCCCATTCCCAGTTCACCAAGCTCCGCCAGCTTCGCACCCAGCTCTCTCTCTCTCTATCTCTCACCAGGAGCCGGAATTGCCCCGAATCCTTGCTTGGAAGTTTACACCCACAGAATAAATTGATCGGAAAGAACCCTCCCCCTTCCGGCGATAGCACAAACCCAAGCAAAACCAAAAGCACGGCATGAGATTAACAGGGCGAGTCGTTGCTTAGAGGACCCCCCCAACATGGCGGTGTTCCTTCCGGTCTCCTTCAAGAAGCCCACTCCAAAACAGGGAGGTGCGCCCCAAAAAGGAAAGTAGCCCTTTTTGTCAGCTTCCATGATGGGAGAGAGAGTACCGATCAAACAAAGAAGAGCCTGGGTCTGGGCACAGAACCGATTTCTAAAACTTATTTCTGTCCCCAACCGCTCGAAAGGACGCCGAAAGGCTCCGCCGATTCCGTCCGATCCGGCCTTCTGGTCCCTGAAGTGGAGTTGACAGGCCACCTCAGCCACCGCCGGCGCCAGGAGGCCTCCATTCCACGCAACGGGGCGGCCACCCAAATGGGAAGCCCTGTCTTTGTCGGCCCCCAAACCCAGTGAATCCTTTTGTTGGTTTTCTGTTGGCTTTGAGAACCAGGTGAATCGAGTGTCCAAAACAGGCTGAAGCTTGGAAAAGAGGGGGCCTCTAGTCTATGCTGTGCGGAACCTTCAGTCTTAAGAGAACCACTCCCACTGAAGGGGTGCCACTTCTGGGTGAAAACGCTTCTGCTACCTCAAATACGTGTCCTTGCGGTTTTTTTCGGGGGGGTTTAACATCTTGCCCAAGTACAACTTGGATGTTCAGGAAACACCCCGCACCCTGTGAAGGGGCAAATCAGAGTTTATGCTCAAAGGGCCCTGCCAGGCAAACCCTTGAATTCGAGTCAGGATTCGGACCCGGAAATTCGCAAGTGGCTGAAACGATGGGTCTGTCTCTTTTTGAGGGTGCCCGTTTTTTCGTGGGTGAAGAAGGGAAGCCAAAAGGAAAATTCAATTTTGGAGAGGTCCCCGTCAAAAAAGACTCCTCCCGCATGTTGATGCCATGCATCTTGCATCGAACGTTGCAAGAAGGCCACCGGTTAAACAGGAACATGATTACATGTGTTTTCCGTCGCTAGTTCTCAGTGGAGAACAAGGCAACCTCCATGAAGCATCCCTGGCTTCCTTTAAAGGAGCCCCCACTTGAATTGCCACCCCTGCTGCCTCCTTCCGGGATTGTGCAAGCTGCTCATGGGAAAGATTGCCACCAGCCCCTGCTTTCATTGATGCCCTGAAGGCCCTGAAGGCCCTGAAGGCCCTGAGAAGAATAGAAAGTCAACACGACCTCTCGCCTGCCGCCGCCGGCTCCACGGCGCCCTTCACGGGCCCTTCGAAGCTCAGCAGGCGCAGCGCCGCGGACCGCGCCGAGGTCCTCAGCACCGCTGGCTCTTTGGACCCTGGCAATGCGAAAAATTACGTCCACCAGCCACTTTTGAGGTTTCCTTTTAGAAATCATCGGGTGGGATGGTGGATTGCGACGCCCTGCAAGAACTTTTGGGCGGTCGAAAGGGAAAATGAAGGAAACCCAAGAAGGCAAAACAGCCAAAAAGGCGAGCCGCCTCCGGTAATGACTTGGTGCGTGCGTTCTTTCCGTTTTTGGAGCTGGTACCCTTTTCAGGTTGGTTCACGGGGAAACTAAAGGGAACACCACCACCCTCTTTACGCTGGACACACACTTTGGATACAGGAGCGATTTGGTAGCCCACCTTCTTCTTCTTTTTGCGACACGCCATAGATCAGGGGCTGACGGTGACCCCCCGTTCTTTGGTCGCGGGGGGAGAGGGAAAGGGATTTTGTACTTTCTGCATTTGGCCGAAGTTTAGGGTGCTTTCGGGTCTGTTTGGAATGGTATTTTGACTAGCCTAAAGTCGGGTGGCTGGCTGGCTTTTCCACGGGTTTTGATTCAGGGTAGGTTTAGGGTGGGTTCAGGGTGGGCTTAGGTGGGTTTAGGGTTGGTTTAGATTTGGCTTAGGGTAGTGTGGGTTTAGGGCGGGGCTATAGGCAGAATATATTCCCAAAGATGAGGGCGTGGGGAAAACATTGGAAACCATGACAACACATTGCGAAACTGTTGTACAATTAAGGGGGGAGCCATGAGGAAAACATTGGGAATCTATGGGCACACGCCAAAATAAACTTCCTATTCGGTGCGTTAGTTAGGATGATAGAGTCGGGCTGTGGTTGGGAGGGTGGGTGTTTAGGGTGGGTTTAGCTTAGGTTGTTTAGGGTGGGCTCAGGGTGGGTTAAGGGTTGGTTCAGGAGTATGATTTTACGGTAGGTGGTAGGTTTACAGTGGATTTGGGTTAGGCTTCATTCAGGGTGGTGTTTTTTTACCGTGTTCAGGCTTGCCTCAGAGCGGGTTTAGCCTGAGTTCAGGGTGGGTTTTGCCCAACAGCCACGCAAATCCGCCACTAAAGCTGCCCATCCAAACCGCAAAAAAAGAAGTCAACAGAATGACAGTCCTTTTCCAAAAAAACAAACAAACATACAGATCTACTTTCAACCCACAACCAAAACTACATCTACGTTTACTTCTAACCTTGAGAAAAGAACTTGCTGGTGCTCAGTAGGGAATTAGCCAGAGTGTTGGGAACGAACCTAGGGATTCCCTTAAAGGAAACCATACCCTGATTCCCTGCCTCTCGAACCAAAAAGAACAAGAAGCGCTTCTGAAGTCCGAGAGGCTGCACCATGGGATCCGGGTGCCCGATCAATCGTACGGAGCCTGAGCTGTGTTGTGCCCGACGGGTATGTGTGTGTGTGTGTGTCCCCGCAATGGGCTTTCGGTGCGTTTGTTTCCCTTTAAATCAAACCCCAAAAAGAGGGACAGCCCTGATGGGTTAGGGAAAAACAGAACGAAAACTACCGTGGTTGAGATGAAGACATGTCTCACTTGCAACCGAAAAGCAGGGCATGAAAACAAGAACGGACCTACGAGCAGGAGGACAAAACAAAAACACTTAAACCTCCCCAACACATCTGAGACGCCTCAAAAAACAAAAGAAACTGGCAACCAAAGGACCTGGACGCAAAGAAGGTCAACAAGCGGATTGGCCTTTGGCAAGTTCAACATGTGGCCATGGATCCTTTAGGCTTGGGAAGAATTGCCATCTTCCCAGTGAACCGGAATCAAAACGGAACCCAGGTGTCACAGCTGGGGATGGGAACCTCAGCGAGGCCACGAAAAACGCGCTGAAACGACAAAGGCTTGGTGTCCCCTTCAAGTCCTGGAAAACCCCCAGAAAGGGTGCCCAAGACCAAGTTGGTTTCAGTTTCCTGGTTGAAGGGCCATCCCGAAAACCCTCCAAAACCCACACACACACAGACACACACACGCACACACACAGACACAAATGAATGGACCAAAAAAGGGGGCCATTTTTGAGCTCCTCTGAATCCTTCCGCGCGACGCTCGAAGATGGGCATCCGCAGCGAAGGGCCTTCGCTCGGGCTGGGGGTGGCGGTGGGGCTCGCCGAGCTCGTGCTCGGGGTCGCGCCCTCGTAGCCGCAACCTGAGCCACGGATCAAAGCAAAAGTCAAAAGCTTGACGAAAGAAGATGGTCATCAGATGGTCGTCTTCAGCTCCCAAACTGAGCCAAACTCGCCCCGCCCAACAAAATGGGCGTTTCGCCCGCCTCTTCTCGGGTTCCTCTGCAGGCACAGCAGCGCCAGCTGCCCATCCAGGCGAAAGGCAATGCCCTGGGTCGAACCCTTCCAAACAGGGCCCAACCGGTATTGCAACCATGGCTTGAGCTTGGCTTAAACCACTTCATTGAAAGCAACCTCCGTTTCGCTCCCCTTGTAAAGCGGGCACGGGCTTGCTTGTTTAAACCAATTTCGCCCCACCACTCACTCCTCCTCTGATCCCCCTGTCTTTTCAGCCATTCTTCTTTTGAGAAATAATCTAAGGAAGCAGATGCCAATCCACCGGAAAGAGGGTGAGGGAAAAGCAGCGTTGGGGAGCGGGGTTGGGGAACAATTTCCGCATGTGTCCGCCTTTCTGCAATAACAAACGGAATAGGAGGCCAGGATAACCTTGGAAACCAGGCATACCCCCCCAAATCTGACCAAATCTGACCACGCTCCACGCTTTCTGCGGTACCAAGGGGCTGATTCCCATTTAGCACGTCAAAGGGGATCCGCTTAGTGTTACAGAAAGTGGCAACCAAAACCACAATATCCACAATGATCTTGCTCATTGGGCATATTTGCTGGGACGAGGTGGGCAGGGGCAGGGTGGACACGCAGAGTCGCCGTTCAGGGCTCTGAGATGTGACACCTTGCCCGACAAATGCCGGGGCTGAGATGAAAGGTATGAATGTGGCTTGGGCAGTTGGCTTTGGGCCCGTGGACATCATGGTTGCCCAGAGAGGTCGTTTCGTGCCCCGCAGATCGTGATGACGCAATCATGGCGCAATGGGTCATCAAGCTAACCTTTTCTGCGGAAACATAACTTCTCGGCATGTCGGGAGCTACCCACCCTCCCCCCGAACCAAACCAAACACACCGCCTTCAGTAGTGTGATGAAGTAGGCGAGGGCTTCCTCGTCCATGTTCGCCTGAAGAAACGGCACTGGGGAAAAGGCCTCATGGCCTCATGGCCATCACTCGAAGCAACCACTCACTGGTTGCAGCCCACTGATTTGCCCCTGCCTCTGCACTCCCAGGCAAAAAAAAAGAAGCAAGTCAACGCATCTTGCTCGTTCTCAGCAGGGCATGAGGGAATGCCCCCTAACCATCGCCGATTTGATGTCCTTTAAGGGAAGCGTCCGGTTCATCATTCCCTACCTATCGCACCAGCAAGTTATACAAGGCATGGTTCATCAGTCACAAATGGCGGGATGTCCCCTGCACATTGCCGAGCTTTCATCTGAGCGCTTGAAACCTACTGACCGCTGGTTCTATCAAGGTGAGTCGTGTTTCTTGCATGTAGGCGTGAACCTTATTTGGGGATATTTGTGAAAGTCATGTGCATGGGCATGTTCGCCCGCCATGTAAGGGCTTTCCCGAGAATCAAAGCCGATGTGTTCTTGCCTGGAGCAGCCAGTTAGCCAGTTCCGAGGGCGCGGCAGGGGGGTCGTCGAAAAAATCGTTGAGAAGCCCTTGAGAGAGCAAGTAGATGAAAGAAGTGTCCTCATGTCGGAGGTGTGTGCGTTTTGATAGGAATCGGACACCCCAAAATGGCGGCTCTCCTTTTGGTTTCCCAACCAGAAGAGGGCTCTCCGAGCCAAATGACGGACCTGGTACCCCTTTTCTGGGTCTCTGAAGAGAAACCAAAGCAAAACCTGTGCTGGTGTTCCCCATTTCGAGACGCAGGACAGCAACACTGCTGGACAACTCCAAAACCTCGCACGCTGCCACTGCATCTGCCGGAAAAAAGAAAATCGAAGTGGGTCCCGGTCGCCAGAAGGACCCTCCTTTGGTCCAATTCCATGAGGTCGGGAGGGTCGAACCCATGGAGGCAAGCGGCGCGTTGTGCATTTTGCACCAAGATGGAGAGCGTCTGGAGGATTTGCAGCTTCACCTCAGCCCGGATCCAAGCAAGCTAGGTCGCTGCGCAATGCGTGGAGCCTACCTGGCTGCCTCCCAGGTACCATGGTCAGAATCTGCAAAATTCATGGAGAGTGTCTTTTTGCGGGTGCCTCCTTTTTCGCAGTTCCCAAAGGAAAACAAAATTGGAAACCACAATTTTGGGATGTCCCCTAGAAAAAGACACACACACACACATACACAAACACCTAGCAGCCCGGGGGCTTCTTATCAGAGACCCCGCCCAGCTGTCTGCAACAATGATGACGCATGCGTCGCTTTGTGTGATACATCCCGAATCGCTTTTCTTGACCTCGTGCCGAGATCTCGGCCGGCACCGGACTGGCCGCCCTGAGCGCCGCCACAAATCCTGGCAATCGGGGCTTCTTTCACATGGGAACTGATGCGGCTTCTAGAGTGAACAGGCCATAGGGTTGGCCATGCTGGTTGGCTAGGAAAAGCAAAAGGAAAACCACACCGATCACATTGCGAGTGGATAGTAGCACCGGGTGGCAACTACATGCCGTCTGGGGGATGCAAAAACCAAGGCAGTGCCAAAGGCGCCTTCCCACAACGGCTTGTGCAACCCTATTTGCATTGGAGGGAGCGGATTCAGGGAGCTAAATCCTGGCAAGCATGAGACGAGGGCATCTCCAGTTTGGGTGGGTCAAAACTTATGGAAAGTTGGACCCCAGAAGTGGTCTTTACTTGGGGTTTCCCTTTATAAACCAACCGGAAAAAGGTACATGACCAACTCCAAAAAGCACACGCCCACTCAGGTGACTGTTCTAATTCGGACCAGCTGGGCCTTTGCAACACTTGCCTTGCTTGCAACCCTTGGTATGGTAGCAGAAAACCTTGCTTTTTCCAGCCCCCGACTAAAAAGGAACAAAACAAAAGAACATAAAGCATGCCAACAACAGTGAAGTTATTATTGTTTGTTCAATCATTGTTCTACAACAACAAATGGTTGCTAAACAGGAGCGCAACCCATTTTGGAGAGGATCCTGCACTTGTGACCGATGTTTGCCTGGTTTGTAATATGGGGTCAACAAGAGTCGACCCAATGGGGATCTTGACACAGTCCGCAACAAAAACCAAGTCACAGCCTGAAAGCTCATTGCAAACCGCACGCGATTTGAGTCAAAATCAGGGCTGAAGCAACCACTGGGGTGGGGCAGCTGGGCACGTTGGATTGTACCTCGCTGGGTCCAAAAGTTCAAAAGTCCATTTTTGGAGGACCCCCTCCCAAGCCCCAAGAAAGGCCGCAGCCTGTCAAGCCAACCCCACGCGTGGCTGGTCCTGCCAGCATGGTGTGCTCGCAAAAGAGATTGAAGAGCGACGAGTCGTGGGTCTCGCTCCAAACCAGGCAGGCGGTGGCTTTCCGGATCTGGCCGAATCCCGAATCCAACAGCATCCGAAGCCATCCGAAGCTATCTTCGGTTGTAACACCTGCAAATTCGCAAGCCGGATGCTTTTTAGGGATCCCAGGAAAAGCAAAGAACAATCATGGGCGGGCTCGTTTTACCAGTTGCGCTCGTTCTGGCTTACCCAGACATACGCTTGTTCACCCTCTGCTCAACCCCTTCCAGCTCTTCGATCCCTTGGATCCTTCCAGCCACCCAATCGCTCATATCTCAGGAAGTTCTGCTGAACCAAGGCGGCATTGCTTTTTTAAAGTGTGATTGCTATACTCGCAATATGTGACGACACTGGTACACACTTCGCATCTGGTCTCTGGTCCGCTTTTGGTCCCTGACACGCCTTCTAGAGCCTCTGAATAGGGGCACAACCTGTCCCGCCAACTCCTGGTGGCCATGAAACTTCAGATTGGGGGATCGTCTAATTTGGCCTCTCATGTAAAAGGCGGAACAAGGCGGCACCAGGGTCCAAAAGCGGGCCACATGTTGCACAACCCCTACATGATCCAGGGATGGATGGCCATCCCTGACACACACCAACAAAGAACGCTCCAACCTGTTGCGTGTGTGTGTGTGGGTGTGTGTGGGTGTGTGTGGGTGTGGGGGGGTGTGGGTGTGGGGGGGTGTGGGTGTGTGTGTGTGTGTGTCTTTTTGTGTGTGTGTGTTTGTCTGTGATTGTGTGTTTGTGTCTTTTTGTGTGTTGTTGTGTGTTGTTGTGTGTGGTTGTGTGTGTGTTTTTTGTATTTTGTGTTTCGTGTGTGTGTGTGTGTTTGTGTTTGTGTTTGTGTTTGTGTTTGTGTTTGTGTTTGTGTTTGCGTTTGCGTTTGCGTTTGCGTTTGCGTTTGCGTTTGCGTTTGCGTTTGCGTTTGCGTTTGCGTTTGCGTTTGCGTTTGCGTTTGCGTTTGTTTGTTTTTTTTGTGTTTTTGTGTGTTTGTGTGTTTGTGTGCTTGTGTGCTTGTGTGCTTGTGTGCTTGTGTGCTTGTGTGCTTGTGTGCTTGTGTGCTTGTGTGCTTGTGTGCTTGTGTGCTTGTGTGCTTGTGTGCTTGTGTGCTTGTGTGCTTGTGTGCTTGTGTGCTTGTGCTTGTGTGCTTGTGTGTGTGCTTGTGTGCTTGTGTGCTTGTGTGCTTGTGTGCTTGTGTGCTTGTGTGCTTGTGTGCTTGTGTGCTTGTGTGCTTGTGTGCTTGTGTGCTTGTGTGCCTTGTGTGCTTGTGTGCTTGTGTGCTTGTGTGCTTGTGTGCTTGTGTGCTTGTGTGCTTGTGTGCTTGTGTGCTTGTGTGCTTGTGTGCTTGTGTGCTTGTGTGCTTGTGTGTTTGTGTGTTTGTGTGCTTGTGTGCTTGTGCTTGTGTGCTTGTGTGCTTGTGTGTTTGTGTGCTTGTGTGCTTGTGTGGTTGTGTGTTTGTGCGTTTGTGCTTGTGTGCTTGTGTGCTTGTGTGCTTGTGGGCTTGTGGGCTTGTGGGCTTGTGGGCTTGTGGGCTTTTGGGTTTGTGTGGTTGTGTGGTTGTGTGGTTGTGTGTTTGTGTGTTTGTATGTTTGCGTGTTTGTGTGTTTGTGTGTTTGTGTGTTTGTGTGTTTGTGTTCTTGTTTTCTTGTGTGCTTCTGTGCTTGTGTGCTTGTGCGCTTGTGCGCTTGTGCGCTTGTGCGCTTGTGCGCTTGTGTGCTTGTGTGCTTGTGTGCTTGTGTGCTTGTGTGCTTGTGTGCTTGTGTGCTTGTGTGCTTGTGTGTTTGTGTGTTTGTGTGTTTGTGTGTTTGTGTGTTTGTGTGTTTGTGTGTTTGTGTGTTTTTGTGTTTGTGTGTTTGTGTGTTTTTGTGTTTGTGTGTTTGTGTGTTTGTGTGTTTGTGTGTTTGTGTGTTTGTGTGTTTGTGTGTTTTGTGTGTTTGTGTGTTTGTGTGTTTGTGTGTTTGTGTGTTTGTGTGTTTGTGTGTTTGTGTGTTTGTGTGTTTGTGTGTTTGTGTGTTTGTGTGTTTGTGTGTGTGTGTGTTTGTGTGTTTGTGTGTTTGTGTGCTTGTGTGTTTGTGTGCTTGTGTGTTTGTGTGTTTGTGTGTTTGTGTGTTTGTGTGTTTGTGTGTTTGTGTGTTTGTGTGTTTGTGTGTGTTGTGTGTTTGTGTGTTTGTGTGTTTGTGTGTTTGTGTGTTTGTGTGTTTGTGTGT